CACACACACACACACAACATAAGCTGTGTACGTGCTGGGGGTGGGCACCGCCGCGGAGCTTCGGGGCAAATTTCCCTGTTGTCGTTTTGTTTTAGATTTCTGTAGCAGGCTGCTCAAAGGTCGGAAAACCTCAACCACGCGTGTTTCGTCCTCGCTCCATTTCCTCTCTCTTTTTTTCCAACTGGCTGTGCTTGCGACTTGTCGTACAACGGTGTCCTGCAGCAGCGCGCGTCGCGTCGGCGCTGGGATGACCCCCCAGGCAGCGTACCTGCGAGGGGCCGGGGCGGGGGTGCGGCGGTGCGGGGCGGGTCGGGGGGGGGCAGGGTCACCGGCTTCCGTCCGTTATGGGTCTCACACCCCACATCGGCAGCAAGTACTAAAACCGTGACGTGACCCCCCCCCCCCCCCCCCCCCCCAAAGTTGCCGCCGCGGCGCGGTGCCTCTACCGGCGACGACCCCCTGCTCCTCGGCGTCCTCTCTCTCTCTCCTCTCTCTCTCTCTCTCTCTCTCTCCTCCCCTCTCCTCTCTCTCTCTCCCTCTCTCTCTCCTCTCCTCTCCTCTCCCTCTCCTTCTCCTCTCTCTCTTCTCTCTCTCTCTTCCCTCTCTCTCTCCTCCCCTCTCCCTCTCTTCCTCTCTCCTCTCTCCTTCTCTCTTCTCTCTCTCTCTCTCTCCCCTCCTCTCTCTCTCTCTCTCTCTCTCCTCTTTTTTCCTCTCTCCCCCTTTCCCCCCCACGACGCCGCCGTCGCCTCCGGCCCTCTGTTACCTGCCCGGCCGTGCCGTGCGGCACTTCCCCGGAGCACGCCCTCACTGCCACCTTTCTTCTCCTGCACCCCTCCCCCTCCCCTTCCCCCCTCCCCCTTCTTCCCGTGGCAGCAGCTCCGTTGTGATTTTTGCGATGAGAAATTTCTACCTCTCGCGCGCGCTGGGAGCGACTCGAGCGGCGGCGGCGCCGGGAAGGAGAGGGAGGGGGTGGGGGTGTTGTGGCGGAGAGAGAAGGTTGAAAACAAAACAAAAAAAAATATGAAAGGTGCCCCGGCAGGAAAGAGGTGGAAGATTGGACAGGGGGGAGGCGGCGAAGAACAAAACGAACAATTTATAGAGATCCTCCGAAATTGAGTTAAAGGGCGGCACCCACGACGGGGGAGGGGAGGGGGGGGGGGGGGGGGGAGGGATCACAGAGACCGACAGGGAAGGAAAGGCGGAGGGGAGACTTGAGGTATTCTCAGTGACGCCGCCACGCCGCACCACGCCACGCCACGCCACTGCAAAGGTGCGGCCGCACCGCCCCGCCGCGCGTTTCCATGCCTTTTCATGAACTCATCACAAAAACCTTGAATAAATTGTTAGCGAGCCGCGCCGCTAACAGCGAGTTGAGTCGAGTCTAGCGCGGTCTGCCTGCGCGCCGGCAGACTCATTCCGAGAGTCGTCGCTCTGTCTCTCTCGCACCCACGCGGCACGCCCCGCGAGTGCGAGAGAGACAGACACGACTCTCGGAATCAGTCTGCTGGGCCAGGGCGGGGGCGGGCCGGCACACCGCACACCACCAGCCGCTTGGGACCGGCAGAGCAGTTCAGCCTTTCAACTTGCCTGCTCGGCAGGCCTAGGCCCAGGCAGCGCCGGCCTGGTCACGTGCGCTAGCTGACCGGCCGGCCCACAGTGGGCCAGAAGACCGGTGGAGGCGGCCAAAAACTCTAGACGCGTTTTGAGCTCCAGAGTCACTAAATGGGACTCGAACCGAACGTGTGACCCTACCGATGGATTGCTCTCCGAACGAGGAATCCATTAGTGGGTTCACACGCTCGGTTCGAGTCCCATTTAGCGACTCTGGAGCTCAAAACGCGTCTAGAGTTTTGGCCGCCTCCGCCGGTCTTCTGGCCCAGTGTGCCCGGGTTCGAACCCTCGCCCCGCCCACCCCTTCTTTCCCATCTTCTCAGACTGCCGAGCAATTCAGAAGTCGCTTCGTCGCTCCCTTACGGAGAGCCCCATGAGTGCGAGAGAGACAGAGCGACGAAGCGACTCTTTTGAATCGCTCGGTGCTGCCTTCCATACCCCGAGCTCGCCTTCCTCATTGCTGAGACAGTTGCACAAGACACGGCGCTGGCTATACTCCGCGCGCGAGAGACGCCACCCCTTCAATCCGCTTGGCGCGGAGTATCGCCGGGCGCCGGTCCGTCGCTACCCCGCTCGCGAGAGCCTCTCCGGAACCTGGCTCCCGGCGCGCGCCTTAGGAACCCGTGATACTGCCCCGCGGACACGGCAGCTCGCCGGGACTGCCTACCCGGCAGGCGGCATGGCGCCTTACAGTGGCGGGGTAGGCAATCCGCGCGGCACGCCTGTCCGACGGGACAGCATCGCGGAGTCCCAAGGCGTTCCACTGTGGGAGGCGGCCTGAATTCTAGACGCGTTTTGAGCTCCAGAGTCGCTCAATCGGACTCGAACCGAACGTGTGACCCCACCAATGGATTGCTCTTTGAACGAGTAATCCATTGGTGGGGTCACACGTTCGGTTCGAGTCCTGTTTAGCGACTCTGGAGCTCAAAACGCGTCTTTGGCCGCCTCCACCGGTCTTCTGGCTCACTGTGCGCCGTGCGGCCCCCGCGTTGTGATGTAGTGAAGTGAGGCGTGATTGTGTCCTAACCTAACCTCTTCTGCTTGCAGTTCCAGCGTCCGGACGAGCCCGAGTGCTCCGAGGTGTGCCAGTGCCACCCGGGCGACTCGCTGTCCTGCAATACAGTGTGCGTGGCGCGGACGCCGTGCCGCACGGAGTACGCCTTCTACAACCACGCGTCGCCCGCCTACCAGGCCTACCGCGGCCGCTGCCTCTGCTACTCCGGCCGCTTCATCTGCATGCGCCCGGCGCCAGGTGAGCCAACCTAACCTGTGGGCCGTGGACAAGGCGCACAGTGGGCCAGAAGACCGGCGCATGCGGCCGAAACTCCAGACGCGTTTTGAGCTCCAGAGTCACTAAACAGGACTCGAACCAAACGTGTGACCCTACCAATGGTTTCCTCCTGCGAAGAGCAATCCATTGGTGGGGTCACACGTTCGGTTCGACTCCCATTTAGTGACGTTGGAACTCAAAACACGTCCGGGATTTTTGACCGCCTCCACCGCTCTTCTGGCCCACTGTGCTGTGCAGCCTCAGCCACCCAACAGGCAACTTCTGGAGAGCTAAAGCCCAGACGCCAGACAGTGCCCAGTGGGCAGGCTGAGGTTCGCGATCATTTCCACACTAGTGCTTGATGGGATTTTTCTGATACCTTTTTCTTGCCAACACTGCCGTCGCTGACTGTCGCTGACCGCTGCTCTGTTGCGTTGCAGACTCGTACTCGCTGCCGGAGGGCGTGTTCCTGTTCGTGGGCTACTCGGAGCGCGAGGAGGCGCTGCTGCAGGAGCTGTCCAACCTGACGGTGGCCGACGTGGCGGCCACGCTGCAGGAGCATATGCGCACGGCGCAGGCGGCGCGCGCGGAGCACAACGTGCAGGCCTCGGAGAAGGGCGAGGCGGTGGAGGACGGGCACGGCCACGGCGAGGTGCTGTGCTCGCTGCTGATGCACAACGTGACGCGCGAGAACCTCATCCTGGTGGCCAAGCTGGTGCAGGTGAACGTGAGCGAGGAGCTGAGCGCCGCCGAGGCGCTGCGCCGCGAGAAGGAGGAGTGCGTGGGGCCGCTGCACGACATCGTCGAGAAGATCAACTCGCGGCACCCCGACTTCCACTCGCACCTGCTGCTGTCCATCCTCAAGCTGGGGCTCGTCGAGGTGCGGGTCCCGGACAGGACGGCGTCGTCCTCGGCGGCGGCCCTGGGTACGCCCCTGCCTCTGCTGGCGTCCGTGCTGGCCGCGTGCGTCGTGGCGCGCTTCTCGTCCTTGTGGTCGCTAACCCGCCGGTAGTGCGCACGCGGCACGCGGCTCGCCCTGGGCACGCCCTTGGTACGCCCTGGGTAGACCCTTGGTAGGCCCGGGGCACGCCCTGGGTGCGCCCTGGGTACGCCCTGGGTACGCCTTGGGTACGCCTTGGGTACGCCTCAGGCACGCCCTGGGTACGCCCTGGGTAGACCGTGGGTACGCCCTGGGTAGACCGTGGGTACGCCCTGGGTACGCCTTGGGTACGCCCTGGGTACGCCTTGGGTACGCCCTGGGTACGCCCTGGGTACGCCCTGGGTACGCCCTGGGTACGCCCTGGGTACGCCCTGGGTACGCCCCTGGTAGACCCTGGTAGACCCTGGGTACGCCCTGGGCACGCCCTGGGTAGGCCCTGGGTACGCCCTGGGCACGCCCTGGGTAGGCCCTGGGTACGCCCTGGGCACGCCCTGGGTAGGCCCTGGGTACGCCCTGGGCACGCCCTGGGTAGGCCCTGGGTACGCCCTGGGCACGCCCTGGGTAGGCCCTGGGTAGGCCCTGGGCACGCCCTGGGTAGGCCCTGGGTACGCCCTGGGCACGCCCCGGGTAGGCCCTGGGTACGCCTTGGGCACCCCGTGCCGGCCGCCGCCGCCACGCCACGCGGCCCGCGTCGCGCTCCGGACGAGGATCGGGCCTCGGCGCTTCGGCTGGCCCACTGTCGCCGACAGACACGGCCTCGGCCGCTCCGTGCTTCTCGTTTTGTTTAGTTGTAGCGTCGCTCCTTTCGTTTGGTTGCGGTGCCGTCGCGCCGTCGCGGTGCGGGAGCTGCAGGCAGCCTTCGCCCAGACCGCGGCGCCACCTCCAACTTCCATGTCGAATTCGATCTCAGCTTCTAGTCGACTCTGTCGAGCCATTAGTGTGCCCTCTCGAGCGGGCCTCTTCGGACAGCGGGCACGGTGGGGTGGAACTCACGGCCAGCGTCGCCGGCGAGCGAGCGCGCCTTGTGTTGCACAATTTGGATGAGTAACTATTGTGATACTTCCGGCTGCGATCAGCAGTGCCGGTGTAATTGTAATGCCATGTAATTGTTGTAAAGTAATTGCGTTGTAAGGAAGCACGGTGAGAGGGGCGGGGACTCCCTTGGACTCCCCCTGGACTTCCCCCGCCCCAGCCTGGCTCCGACTACACTGTCGGACCGGGTCGAAACGAAAACATATCAGTTCCATTTCTTTCGAATGGAGCCTAGCGCATTTTTTGCACGGTGTATAGGACGATGAGGTCGACGAGGTTTTACGTGAGACCGAAATAGTGCAAGATATCATTTTCTAGTAATTTTTAACAAAGTTATGAATGCATTGTACAAAGAGATATCACTTGAATAGAAGTACTTCCATTGTTAAACATATCATTTTTTTTTTCGTAAGAAAAGAAACAGTCCAATTTGTTAATTCTTCTAGAGTTTTACTCGCTAAATTCTTTGACTGGTTTTTAAATCAATTCGAGGGTGAAATGGAATTTTAATGAAAAGTGGAAAAGTGGAGGGAGCATGTTTGTTACTGTCCCGATTTGCAATTATCTACTCCCTTTTGCTATGTTCAATGCCCTCTTTACACCACCCTCTGAACTTGAAATATGTGAAAATGATTTAGTGTGTAAGAAATCTTTCAATGCTGAGAGGGATTCTGTAGATATAATTGTATGAAGCGTTTTTGCCAACGCCATCTTAACTTTATAAATTCTGAAAAATGTGCTGTAGACTGTTTTTACCCTATAGGGTTAAATGTTATAGATCATCTGTTAGAAGTAATCACCGATACATATCAAGTGAACATATCAATGTGGGTGGCATGTCTGTTAGATGGCCTTTGTGATTAGGGCTGAATGTGTATATCTTTTGCTATAGTAAGTATGTACTGTACAACACATATATTTTGATTATGTACCTAGTTGTTACTTGTGTGGAGGAAGGGACAAGGAATCATGTTTTGATTAGTTTGTTCACATACTTTTACCATTGCAAACAGCAGTATGATATTTATCTCCCTGTAAGTAAGTACATAGCATTATGGTTTCAGCTACACTGTTAACTGACATGGTGGGTCACTGTCTTTTCTCACTTCAGATCTCAGTTTATTTACCCGAATTCTTACATTCACTTCTTTATTTTATACCTACCAAACTTAATTAATTTTAACTTGTGACCTTTCTTTGACCAAAAAAGAAACATCATGTGTCCTTCCTTAGCACTCTATCTATGTTATCTTGCTCAATATTTCTGATGTTCTCATTCCCAGATTGCAAGGGTTTGTGCCATGTGCACTGTGCACATAATGCAGACAATGACCATTCTTACTGGTTCATTAAATACACAGGGGTATGACAAGTAATGCCATATCAAATATCAGGACATTACATATCACCTCTAGAGATGTAAGCAGAGTAGATTTAAGGGCCTCACAAAGTGCCACTGTAAAGTATCGAAAATTATTTGTGTCTTCTTTGCATACTGAAAGGATGAAGCTTTCGAAAGTGTACTATTGCGAGTATTATTTCCATGTCTTTGCTGTGCTTTTGTTTTAATTTTTTCTTTTTTTTTGTTTGTGTTTTGAAAATGGTCAGGTGTTTTCCTTTTTTTATGTGACTTAAATAGTTGCATGTATCATGGACTAACCAAACAACATATCAAAACGTGATAGTCAATTTGGCTTCAAATACTGTAACTCGCGTAAAAGAAAATGTGAAGGTATCCTGGCAGAAATCTCTACCAGAGATTATTAAACATTAGGAGTGAGACAGAAGTTTCAAGTTTATCGAATATTATGTGAGAGTTTAATCAGTAAGTTAGAAAATATTGTGTTACTTTTATTCAATGTTTACTTTTGTTAACTCTCTATTATAGTCCAAAATAGTTTTTGGGTTGGATGATTATTTTCAACTTGTTTTTCTCAGCAGCCAACTGAAACCTGAATACCATCATCATTTACATTGTATTCCAATGGAGAAAGCATTAATAACAATAGATTAAGCATCTTGTTTCAAGTATTTCTAAATGCAAAATTGTCAAATTTTGATGCAACTCCCTTTGTAGTGTAATTAGATACGCTATTACTTACAAAGTACCTTGTTAGTATCCCCTTGTGACAATGCCAACAATGATGGTAATCATTATTTTAGTTTAGATTTTTTTTTAAGTGCAAAAATGATGCTGGGAAGATTTTAGTTTGCATTTGAGAACACAGGATTTGCAAATGCAGTCTAGAAAAATATGCATGACTATGATGAGATGCTGTTAGAAGTAGCGAAACGCTGCCCCCTAGCAATGATTCTACATTTAAGTCGGATTCACAGGTAAACCTTCCATGTCCTTTAAGATTGTTTTCCGTATATTTGTTACTTTAAAAACTCTGCTATGATTATATCAAATTAGGTTTTAACCTGGGTGTACTTTCAACTTGCGCAAAATTTTATGGAAATTAATTTTATTTTATAAATGTGACATTCATAAAAAATGTTTGGAAAAGCCTAAGTGCTGAGTAGGCTTCTGATGGACCAATTACTGATGGTAAAAGGATGTTTTACTAAAGGCTGACATATGTGTGCGAATGTTAAGAAAGTATCTACCATGCAGTGCTTACAAAAGTTTCAGTGATTTGATATTCTCGTGACTGTCACATATACAATATGAGTTAAAAGCTATAAAGCACTCACATGGTGTACAATGTAACATCACGGCAATGTAACGCCGAATTGGCAACCAAAAGTTTTTAAAAATCATCTTGGGATTTTGAAGTAACGTTGCTTTCAATTTGTTTTCCTTGGACGGTGACATTGTTTAACAATCAATTTCAATGTACCCCTCCTCCCCCATTTTTGTTTCAATTTCTTTAGTGAGTTGGTACACGAAACCTAGAAGAGTAAACACTGTTTTAGGAGAAAGGCAGCTATTCATCTAGTCATATCTGGACCTAGTTTTATAACTGTCTGCCTATCACACCACTTGCTACAAATTTGGAAATCAAGGGATTTCTGCTCCAATCTTGTCATCTTGTTAAATTGATTCAGCTGCTGAAAAAAAATCCTTTAATTTCTGGACTTTCTTTACTCGTTGGTTCATACGTTTTAAACGTTTTAAAATTCCCTGTGATTCCGAGTTCCTTCCAGTCACCTGCTCATAATGCAACCTTCGCACATCACCTAACTCAATGTAAATAAATCATGTACAGTGTTTAAAGAAATCAAATATGTATTGAATGTTGGAGGAATAAAAGAGAATTGCACGTTGAAGAGAGTAATTATTTTGGACCTGCACTCCACACACTCCAGTCGTTAGGGAGTGCTCCAGCACAACAAATTCGCCCAAATTCGAGTATGTTATGCTGGGGCACTCCCTCGTGGCTCCTGACACTATTTCGAGGACTATTTGGGCCCTAAACAGTCTCTTTCTGGCGAAAACCTGGGTAGCTTGCGCCGGATAGGTATAGGCAACCCACCGTCCACAGCTTCTTCAACTCATCCAGCGTCCCGGAAAAAGTCATTTTCACGCCAAATAAAATGCGTTACGGGCCATTGGGCACCGGTTATCTGTTTCTTAGACCCATTATACATCATGGATTTTTACCGTTTTGGGTCGAACCTCCAAATTCGAGTATGTTGTGCTGGGGCACTCCCTCGTAGCTGCTGACACTGTTTTGAGGACCATATGGGCCCTGAACAGCCTTTTTCTGGCGAAAAACTGGAAGTACTTGAGCCTGCGCCGCATAGGTAGGCAACCCACCGTCCACAGCGCACCAGAACTCAACTGGGGTCGCGGGAAAAGTCATTTTTGGACCAAAATAAATGTGCAAGAGGCCATTGGGCATCGGGCATCTGTTTCTTAGACCCATGAGAAGGTTCCATATGAAATTCAGACAAATCGGAGGTGATCGACCATTGTCGTCGAAAAAATGTTAAGGCTATATGGACCAAACCTCCCAATTCACCCAAATTCGAGTGTGTTGTGCTGGAGCACTCCCTCAAGAGTACTGACACTATTCCGAGTGCCATTTTCGCCCTACACGACCTTTTTCTGGCAAAATACGGGAATGCACTGAACATGCGCCGGATGGGTAGGCAACCCATTACACTCCTATGACTGGCGTCTCCTTTCTCATATTCCATTTAGTTTTGTTAGTTTTTTGCTGTTGTTGGCTTGTTGTTGCCTAACGTGGCCGGTGTAAGGTATGAGTTTGTAAAAGAAGGAAGTAGAAATAAGAACACAGGTATGAGTTTCATTGCATTCATGAAACAATGGCATTTTATTGACAAGAAGGTACTTCAGCACTGCGCATGGTCAATGACAAAAACTACTGAAAATGATAAAAAGTGTTTCCGTAACTAATAACAGGTGCACATATGAGGGTTTGGCAGTTGGACAAAGACAGTTAATGTACACTTCAAAAATATATAACTTATTATTTACACTAAACACGCTTTTTACAACTTAAAACTACCACCACTTTTTCAACATAATATTTGCAACAATACTGAGGTGGATATAACTGAAACAAATTGATAGACAATCCAGGAACTTACATTACAACAATATTTAAAAATCACTTGAACAATTCATAACAATCAATATTTCTCAAATTCCCGTAATATTTTTAGTTTCAGTGGCATGGCAACTGTCTGGTAGAAGGGTGTTCCACAGTTGGTACTTTCAACCTTAAAATTTTCTCTCATTTAAGTTTTAATTAATTTCTCAAAAATATTTGTTTGGATTTGATTACAAGAATTCAAATGAGACTTGATTTCGCACGATGACTTTGTCTGGAGTTCCCATGCCACAGAGATTGAAGCTTTTTCTCGGTTTGAGGGGCCTCGTCCACACAGCAGCCTGTCGGTGTACCCACACGAACGTCTGTGGAGTCCTGTAAGACTCGTCTTTTGGTTTTATTCTGGTTCCTGGATGACTCCCCTGAGTTGAAAACTATAATGAACACGAAGACACCAATGGCCGACTAGTAAGGTGAGTGCGACCGCCAGGCATCGAGCGCTTTTTAAATACTATTTCAAGTCCTTCACGATGGACAACATTCCGCCTACAGCTAAAACTTATCTCGAAAACGACAGCAAAATGGATCGCATCAACGTCGGAGCCGAGGTGGTTTCAAGACAAATTTTCTCCCGCTCTTTATATAATTACATTTTGTACTTGTTTTGGTTGGTGCTGTCCAAATCTCCGAATGAAGTGAATGCACGACACGTCACCGCGTCTGCGCGATACGGGAAGGAGTACGCAGATTAGCGGCGGTGTGGTGCAGTAGGGTACACGGCAAACTTTTACAGGCCGTCTCAATAAGTTAAACAGTTGAATAGCGGAAGGGCCTTCTTTAGCGACTCCAAGGCGGGTGCGAAATGGGGACAAGGTAGGGAGGCACAACTTATCTAGCTGAGCATTGGCATGCAATTATCTGCAATAAAACTAACATCACTTTACAGGAATGTTTTGTAAACATTACATTAATCTCTGTGTAACAAAGTTGCCCGCAGGTCACCATGGTCACCCATGTGCTCGTGGGCTCGATGTTAGATCAAAATAGTAACAATAATAATAACAGTAAGTGTTCCCAACAAGCTCCTCGGTGCGTTTGAAAGTCCGAAAGCAGACGGAAGTCAGACCGGCTAACATCCGTGTCAGTGGGACATGGGCCCTGAGCGTCTCATGTCACCGAGACGAGTCAAACTACTCTACAAACTGAACGAAGCAATTTCCTCCTGAAGGCACAACACTTTCCCGCATTTGAAATGAACCCTCTCCCTTCACACTGATGACTAGTATTATCGTAAGTCGGTCGCTATTCGGTGCAGGCTTCAAGCCATGTCACAGAACAGCCACCAGCTTATATTGCTTTATATGGGCCAGGGCCACCGGGGTGAAACATTGTTACATTTTGGTGTTCCAGACTCCTTAGACTATGTTCACTTCTTTTTCCAATACCTTAGATGTGAATGGTTGGGCAAAGAATACAAATTTATTTTTCCCCCTTGTTTCTTTGTTGTTGTTGCTGTTGACTTTTTTCACCGAAGTAAGGAGAGCTACTCACGCCTCTGTCGAGCTTACTTCACAACTTCGTAAAACATAGTTTGCCAAGGGGGGGAAATAAAATTGGAGAATTTGGTAACTTTGCAACCGACACAGCACGGGGTTGGAGTGAGATTCGGAGCATGTTGCCGGGTGTCTGGTCCCTGGGCTACTCCTGGGCAAACACCAGGGCCTCGCCCGAACAACAGACTCCTTTGTTCCGTCAACCCTTGAAGGTAGCGCGCCGACGAAGTCCCGGACATCCAACGCGCCCCGGGCACGACGGCGTCCTGGACGACGACGCGGACGTGCACTGGTCCAGCAGGGCGACGGCGCGAGCGGGGACTGGGCCGCCGCAAGGTCCACAATCACTCTCACTCGCACACTGGAGTCCGTCACGCCCCCAGGTCCATGCCGCCCGTCAGGCAGTCCTCCACCGAGATGTCGTCGGGGTCACTGACGCCGTCCGGCGACGACAAGTGTGCCGACAGCATGGGGTCGCCCGTCACGGGGTGGTCGTCCTCCATCAGGTCGTCCAGCTGCGCCGAGCTCAGCGTCGCGGCCTCCGTCACCACGTCGGGCATCTGCGAGTCGAACATGAGAAATTACCGACCGAAAAATCACAATACGTTTGTACTCTCAGATAAGGACTAAAACCGTTGCACAGTGGGAGGCGGCCAAAACTCTAGACGCGTTTTGAGCTCCAGAGTCGCCTAAATGGAACTCGAACCGAAAGTGTGACCCCACCAATGGATTGCTCTCCGAACGAGGACTCCATTGGCGGGGACGCACGTTCGGTTCTAGTCCCATTCAGCGACTCAGGAGCTCAGAACGCGTCCAGAGTTTTGGCCGCCTCCACCGGTCTTCTGGCCCATTGCGCGTTAAGGCCAGCCGCTGGGATGCCCACCTTGTGTAAATGTGACGTTTCGTGGAGGTAGTTCGGCGTCGAGTTTTGCCAGCTGAAGTCACTGTACTGCAGGCCGTGGCTCCTCGCGAGTCCCTCCAGTTCCTGCGCGCAAGCAGACAAACATGTCTAAAAACGGGTGGCAAAATATTTGACTACTTTATCAGTTGTCTATATCCAGAGCGGCTGCGACATGCCCAAACAGTCGCATTCAAACAATCCTCGCGTAACTTACCTGGACGCGGAGGGCTAGTCGCCGGTTCTGGCTCTCGAGGACCTTCTGGCGAGCCTCTGACTGCTTGAGGCGTTGTACCTCCAGCTTGAGGACCTTGATGTAGTCCACCGAGGACTTGAGTATCGTGCCCTTGTTGGGCCTCAGGTCACGCACCACCTCGTAGTAGCTGCAGGCACAGAGGGATACTTTAGTTCATCTGGCCCACGGTGCACCAGTGTCGAAAGGGTTGCCAACCTCAGCCTGCCCGATAGGCAATATCTTGGCGTCGCTGTCGAGAAGTTGCCTCGTAAGCAGGCTGAGGCTGGCAACGCACAGCGGGCAAGAAGACCGGTGGAGGCGGCCAAAATCCCGGACGCGTTTCGAGCTCCAGAGTCGCGCAATAGGACTCGAACCGAACGTGTGACCCCACCAATCGATTGCTCTCCGAACGGAGACTCCATTGGTGGGGTCGCACGTTCGGTTCAAGTCCTGTTTAGCGACTCTGGAGCACAAAACGCGTCTAGAGTTTTAGCCGCCTCACCGGTCTTCTGGCCCACTGTGCAACGCTGTTCATACTGATGCGAAGTGGGAAAATTTGCGTCCTTGTGGAGCAACTGGCCCAATGTGTTAAAAACCCATTTTTGTAGTGGGGCGTACTTACGGGTCATTGGTCCTCGGCAGGAGGGTCCCTAACTCCTTGATGCGGTCGTTGATGTTAAACCTCCGCCGGCGTTCAACTGTGGAAGCACACAAAAACGGAAACATTGAACACACGAGGACACGGGACGGACCAGGCACGGATCCAGTGGGGAGACAAAAGGACAACAGCCCCCACCCCCTCCCCCTCCCCCCTTCTCCCAGGGCCAGATACACTGAAAAACCAAACGGGGTCTAGACCACACCAACGGGTGTGGTCAAATGGGTGCCATTTTGACCACATCTGTTGGTGTGGTCTAGACCACGTTTGGTGCGAAACACCACACCAAACGTGGCCCAACGTGGTCTAGAGCGAGGGGGTATGCGCTCTCTGAACCTGTGTACCGACTATTACGCTATTACGCTCTATTACGCCACAAATTAATCGGAATTTAGCTAAAAACGGCCTAAAACACACCAAAATTGATAAAATTTTGACTATTTCGGCTATTACGCGACTATTACGCGACTATTACGCGTATTATTACGCGTGCTATTACAGACAGAGTGAACCGACTATTACGCGAGTGCATACCCCCTCGGTCTAGAGCACATCAAACGTGGCCAAACGTGGTCTACACCACACCAACTGATGTGGTCAAAATGGCACCCATTTGATCACGCCAGTGGTGTGGTCTAGACCACGCTTGGTTTATCAGCGTAGCCGCGTAAAAGGTGGGCAAAAGCAACACTTTGGCCCTCTCGGCCCTGGATCCGCCTCCGGGACCGACAGTCCCTCCAGCCCTACACTGCAAGTTTAAGGCCGGAGCAGTGCAGCAGTGCGCCTCCCGGAAACGCCAGTCATATTCGGACAGGCAAATTGCGGGCCGGGCGCGCATCGCCAAAGCGACCAAAGTATGTCAACTATTTTACGGCGTACCGCGGCGGAGGGACTGCCGGCAGTGCCCGGCAGTGCCACGGTGCCGAAACCGCGTCCAAGGCCGATAGAAAATAAACAGAAACCGCGTGCCAACGCGCCGACGCGCCAAAGCAGCGCGCGATTTCTCATAGGTTCTCTGCGCGGCGGGCAAGGGCGGCAGCAAGCGCAGCACAGTGGGCCAGAAGACTGGTGGAGGCGGACAAAACTCCAGACGCGTTTTGAGCTCCAGAGTCGCTAAATGGGTCTCCGAACGAGCAATCCATTGGTGGGGTCACACACAGTAAAAAAAGAGTCGCTGTTTTGGTGGTCGTTCTATATCCAATCTCACCGAAACGGGCACCCCCACAAACCCGGCGACGGTCCGTCACCAAAACGGTGACCTGCGTCACCAGGTGGTGTTCCGCCAGAGAGGTTAGGATGAACACAACAACTGTTTTTGAGCTGTCTGTGCATATTTGTGCGTACCCGCCGGCAATGTTACGCTTTGATGAGTCACGCGAATGATTACTGACAGCCCCTGACTTGTTTAGTGTCCTATTTCACATTAATACGACGATTAAAAGCCGCTGGCGGGAGGGTGACTGCAGTGCTGTTCTGGTGAGGTGGCTGCTCCGGAACGGACCGAGCGCCACCGAAACTAGACCGAGCGTCGCCGAAACGAACAGAGGGCCGCCAGAACAGTTTGAGGGTGTCGCTGTTCTTGTAATATTCTCGTTTTGGCGCCCAGACGTCACCGAATCGGCGAATCTTTTTTTACTGTGCACGTTCGGTTCGAGTCCCATTTACCGACTCTGGAGGTCAAAACGCGTCTAGAGCTTTGGCCACCTCCACCGGTCTTCTGACTCACTGTGCGCAGCAAGGTAGCGAACAAGGCAATCCGGTGTTTGAACCCGAGCTAATTTTGAACACCCCACCCCCTCCGTCTTTCTCGCGCCGCCCCTGCCACGACGGGCATTGGCAGCCAAGCGCATTACCTGCGTCGCGTGGACATCTTGGTGGACATACACTGGAAAGAGATTCTCTCTTTCTGAAAGAAATTGGCTAGTTTTAACTTGGATAAAATCATCACGCCAGAGCTTCAGTGAAAAATCCCAGTTCAAACTCTGTTAAAAGTGGATAAGAATTTCTCAGAACATCCGCTTGATTTTGCTTTTACACAAAACACGACTTGGAAACCTTCATTTCCGTCCAGGAAAGAGGGAATGCCGGAGAAAAGGTTAGGTTAGGGAGCCATTGACGCAGCACACCACTACCTACTTATATTGTGGTTGTCCTTCTTCTGGCGATCCTTGTCGATGGCGTTGGGGGGCGACAGACCACGTCCTACGGGAAGGTTAGGTTAGCCATGTCGGGGCCCCGCCGCGGCGCGCCGCCGGGGTTGGGGACCACACTGAGACAGGCGTTTAGGGCCCAGGACTCTCCGCTCAAAATTTAGACGGAAGCATGCAAAGTTTCAAGCGGGTGGCTCGAAAGCTTGGATGCTGGCGCTAAACTTCCCGGACGCTAAACGCTTCTCCCAGTGCACAGTGGATTTGCCAGAATACCGCGGTGCAGGCGGCCAAAACTCGAGACGCGTTTTGAGCTCCAGAGTCGGTAAACAGGACTCGGACCGAACGTGTGACCCCACCAATGGATTCCTCGTACGGAGAGCAGTCCATCGGTAGGGTCACACGTTCGGTTCGAGTCCCATTTAGCGACTCTGGAGCTCAAAACGCGTCTAGAATTTCGGCCGCAACCAGCGGTCCTCTGGCAAATCCACTGTGCAGTGCCTCAGTGACTCTGCTCGGCTGCATGCGAGTAATGGTCACGACGTACTCATGTTATGGTTGTCCTTCTTCTGCCGGTCCTTGGCGATGGCGTTGAGCTCGGCGTCGCTGAGGTTGTGGGGCTCCTGCTTGACGGTGGCGAGGGCCACGTCGGAGAGCGACAGCGAGAGGTCCATGTCGGAGCAGGAGCCCTGGCGCCGCAGCCCCAGCAGGCTGTACATGCTGTCCGTGTCATCCTGCGAGTACAACACTGTTAGCCGTGGAGCGCCTTCAAGCGGCATCAAAACTTGCAAATCGAAACGTGCATCGTGACTGCACTTATCCGACTCTGCAATTAAAACAGCCTTGCCTACCTGGAGGTCCAGTGACAGGTCCGCGGCGCTGTCGGCAAGCTTGATCTTCTCCTCCAAGGTGGCGGCATCGCACGACAGGAAGTCGTCCAGGACGTCCACGTCGGCCTGCAACAGAGCGCGGTGCGTTTCAAACACTAACTATCCGCACGGCAGTGGGCCAAAAGACCGGTGGAGGCGGCCAAAACTCTAGACGCGTTTTGAGCTCCAGAGTCGCTAAATGGGACTCGAACCGAACGTGTGACCCCACCAATGGATTCCTCGTTCGAAGAGCAATGCATTGGTGGGGTCACACGCTCGGTTCGAGTCCCATTTAGCGACTCTGGAGCTCAAAACGCGTCTTGAGTTTCGGCCGCCTCCACCGGTCTGCTGGCCCACTGTACGTCCCCGCCGCTTATCGACGGATTCGCCGGCAGCCTTCCCCGGCTCCGCCCTGCCGGCCCGGCCCGCCGACTGCCTCGGCCCTGGTTGTCACCCCGGTGACGATTGCCCAACGGCCACTTTCTCAGGACTGGAGATTGCAACGCACGAGCCCGTTTCAAAATTCCCGCCAAAAGTCCGCCTGCTGGCTGATTGGCTCCTATCGGACTTCCCGCCAAAAACAAGCCCGCCGGTTGGCTGATCCAAAAGTGGCGGCAGATGGCAGCCTCCCCATTGGCTGGTGGCGCAGAGCCGCAGTAGCTCGCTAGCAGCAGCTTGATTGAATAGTGCAGCTCCTCGTAACCACGGACAATAGCGAGTCCGGCGTACGGCCGCTCGCGGAAGCCGGCCAAGCTCAGAGAGGTTATGGCGGCCATCACCGGCAGCCTTCGCTCCGCCGCGCAGTGGGCCAGAAGACCGGTGGAGGCGGACAAAACTCTCAACGCGTTTTCACCTGCAGAGTCGCTAAATGGGCCTCGAACCGAACGTGTGACCCCACCAATGGATTCCTCGTTCGGAGAGCAATCCAATGGTGGGGTCACACGTTCGGTTCGGGTCCCATTTAGCGACTCTGGAGCTCAAAACGCGTTGAGAGTTTTGTCCGCCTCCACCGGTCTTCTGGCCCACTGTGCGCCGCTTCGCCGCCACGCCGCCAGGGGGCGCGCAGCGCGAGGCTGAGGCTTTGCACGAAAAGCACTTGAGGCCTCGGCGCGCTTCGCGGCTTCGCGGCGCGTGGGGTCTCCAGCCTTGCATGTCTCGCCAGTCTCGCGAATCAAATAATCGCTGGGATTCGACGTAAGCCGAGCCAGTGCCGAGGCGGCAGCGTGGCGGCGGGGAGGTGCTAACCGCGGTGCGTTTTATGGGCTGCCAGCTCGGGCTGCCGGCCCGCCGACCAGGTGGTAATCACTCCCAGTTTGAACCGGACCGACGCCATTTTGTTTCCGACGCAAAACGGAACGTCGCCATTCTTGCAAGTCGCCACCCTGCACAGTGGGCCAGAAGACCGGCGCAGGCGGCCGGAACTCTAGACGCGTTTTGAGCTCCAGAGTCGCCAAGTGGGACTCGAACCGAACGTGTGACCCCGCCAATGGATTGCTCGCCGAACGGGGAACCCATCAGTGGGGTCACACGCCCGGTTCTAGTCTGGAGCACAATTTCAGTATCTGATAATTATAATTAATTATTTTTTTCGAAACTAAGGCAGTAGGCCTGCACCGCGCCACGATGACGTCTTATCAGTGGAGATAGCATAGTAGCAAGGTGCGGCAGAGAGACAAGGAGAGACAAGGCGACACACGGCAGAGGAGCACCATGTGTAGAAGAGTAGCAACGTGCGTCGCTCTGTCTCTCTCGCACGCCTACGGCGCCTGGCGGGGCGCCGCGCTAGTGCGACGGAGACAGGGCGACGCGTGGGCGGTGGAAGCAGCCCCGGCAGCCCCGGACACGGCCATGAAGAGTACCAGGACGACCATGAAACGAATGACCATGACACGGCCCACACGCGTGCACCAAATTGGTCCTTCCATGGGCAATCGGAGCAAAATGGAGTAAGTTTAGCGTCCCGGTTACCTAATCGCCCGCACGGCAAGGACACTGTCAAGAACCTTCCAATCGAACGAGCGCCATCAGTTGACATCATTCTTTCTGCCTTGCGCGGGGCTTACCGCGGCACTCAGTGGGCCAGAAGACCGGTGGAGGCGGACAAAACTCTTGACGCATTTTCAGCTCCAACGTCGTTAAACAGGGCTCGAACCGAACGTGTGACCCCACCAATGGATTCCTCGTTCGAAGAGCAATCCACTGGTGGGGTCACACGTTCGGTTCGACTCCCATGTAGCGACTCTGGAGCTCAAAACGCGTCTACAGTTTTGGCCTCCTCCACCGGTCTTCTGGCCCACTGTGCGACAGTGTCAGGAGGCGAAAATTCCACCAGCGTCGAAGTTGCCAGCATCATCCTGCCTACAGGGCCGCAATTCTCCAGAGCAAAGTCCAAACGTCCTGGAAGGTAGGCTGAGGTTGGCAACCCTTTTGACTCTGGTGCATCGTCTGAATTTTTGTAGCAAGACGGTCCAGCGGCCCCGCTGTGGCTCGGCAGGCGCCTTCTGGGTAGCCTTCGCGCTCACGGCCGTGGTGGCCGTGGTGCCTACCCCCACGGTGCTACGTTCCAGCTCCAAGACCACCACACAGTGGGCCAGAACCCTTGGTGCTGGTCAATATCCCGGATGGGTTTTGAGCTCCAGAGTCGCTAAACGGGACTCGAACCGAACGTGTGACCCCACCAATGGATTGCTCTCCGAGCGAGGAATCCATTGGTGGGGTCACACGCTCGATTAGATCCCGTTTAGCGACTCTGGAGCTCGAAACGCGTCTAGAGTTTTGGTCACCTCCACCGGTCTTCTGGCCCACTGTGCGCCATTTTGCAGTTCCCGGGCGTCTTTTATCATGACGATCGCTAGCCTTGTGTTAATATCCAGACACTGGCAAAAACTATAAAGTAGACTTCATAACACTAGTTTTGTTTTCGAAATTGAAGTGTTGGTGCGGCAGCAAAGACAGGCCCAGTCGGCGGAGCTTTCGTTGTTTGCGGCTGTAAGTGAATCAAGCCATTCCAATTTTTTTTTGGTCCGTAATCGCCAGCATTAGAGTGCGTCCTGGAGGATTAACGACAGTGCGGTTTGCATCGTCATCAAAATCTCGTATGTGCCATGGCCGAAACAATTCCGGCATCCGGTACCCCGCGGTACCCCCACTCCACGGCACTGTCAGAGTTCGCGTGAAACCGGATGACGGCATGCCAACAAAACAAAGCCAAAATATCGCGCCAGTTTGTTTCGTCGGTTCAAAAAGTGGCGCGTTCGATTCCTCGAGTCGAATGCGCGGTTTGCGCAAGGAAGGGGGAGAGAAGGCTACCCTCGCAGGCTGCGTTTTCGAGTGCTGTTGCGTTGGCACCACTGCTGTTGCGATGAATTGATTACTTAATAATCCTTGTGTCATTTCGAGTGTAGGGTGGTGTCCCAGCGCCACATTACGGTGGAGCACGCAAGCTCGGGCACCGCTCAGTGGGCCAGAAGACCGGTGGAGGCGGCCAAAACTCTAGACGCGTTTTGAGCTCCAGAGTCGCTAAATGGGACTCGAACCGAGCGTGTGACCCCACCGATGGATTCCTCGTTCGGAGTGCAATCCATTGGTGGGGTCACACGTTCGGTGAGGTCCCATTTAGCGACTCTGGAGCTCAAAACGCGTCTGGGATTTCGACCGCCTCCACCGCTGTGCACCCTTGTCGCTAGGGGTGGCTCGGACGCGAAAATCGCTCTGCGTCGCTCGAGACCTCGCTCCGCCTCGCTCTATATCGAGTCGTTGTTTTGGGAGCGATAGTCTGAAAAGCGCGTCGTCGGGCGGCACTGGGATGGACCCTATTGGTGACAATCAGTGCTTCATTAAGGCCGTGCCTTGAGGCTGTGCGCGCCTGCACTGCGAGCCAGCTGTAACACCACATGGCCCGTCAGTGTGTTGGTGAGTGTTGGTGTGTTTGCCCGACCGGCCGCTTGTCTATCTCCCGACGACACTTACAGTGTCCGAAAACCATCCTATCAATGCAGAGTGCCACGGAAGGAGCCTCTTAGATTGTATACGCCACCTGCCACCAGTGGCGTGCGCAGGGGGGGGGGGGGGGGGGTCAGGGGGGTCAGGGGGGTCATGACCCCCCCCCTTTGGCCACTAGACAGCCGCCTGAAAGGTAGGCAAATTGCGTCACTTTCCCCCTGTAAGTAGGCAGAAAGCGTGGCCTGACCCCCCCTTTCTAAATTTCTGCGCACGCCACTGCCTGCCACAGCACTCTAGAAAACGCCGGAGTGGGGATGCTTTGATTCCAAACTGGACAATCTGACCACAAACTCCAGCAAACTGCGCTGTGTAGCAGGGCAGGGCTCTGCGCGACGGAACTCGGAAAAAAAGGAGCATTGAAAAACGCAAATATGACCAATTGTGACCAAGGTGTCAGTGGGTCAGAGCACCAGGTGTCGCAAGAATGATTCCATCACGTCAAGAGCGGATCCGTCCACAGAAAAGCCAAAAGAAACCGGTGTGGCAACAGAAAAGCTACCAAATTGATTTGATAATAGTGATAGTGTCTGGCGGCTTTTTTTTATGGTCTTGAGGCCCGTGTCCCACGTCCAGAGGTCCATCAGCCGTCTGTCTGTCTGTCTGTCTGTCTGTCTGTCCGTCCTTCCGTCTGCTCCACCTATCCGTGCACACCGGAGCAGCACGCGAGGGAAATCATGAATGGGCCAGCCATCAATGAATGGCGCACGTGTGTGCGCACGCGCGTGCATGTGTGTGTGTGTGTGTTCACTGTAGCGAAACGGCGTTTATTGCGTCAAATATGGCAGCCGACCGCCGCGAGGAGGACGGGATGAATGAATGAATGAATGAATGAATGAATGAATGAATGAATGAATGAATGAATGAATGAATGAATGAATGAATGAATGACAAAAAAAACAGACCGCCACAAACTTGCTGCAGTTGACGGTCAAGAGGAAGTGCACTGACCACAAATCGGCTTGCTGATTTAACTTTGAATTTCCGTAACACACCATAGACACCACCGATCCGTGATTGATTCAAGCAAGTACTTCTAATAACTTTTTTTCTGCCAGACAAAGTACAAGAATGGTCTGCAAATATGT